CAGCACTTTCAAACCTGCAAAAATACAATCATAACTTAAATCTTTCAATTTAGTTGAATCTCATGGATTGCCCAAAATAACACAATCTTAGCTCACCTTCCCTTGGACAATTCGACTTGGGTTCTAACGAATAATATATATGCTTTAAAAGTCATCTCGAAAACCTTCTGGGAAGGATGAGGACTGTTGGATGACTTGGATTTAGGGATATTTGACATGGCCGAGAAAGAATCATCGAGTTGGTGGAGCTTCAAGAGAGCTTCTGCCCTGCATGCACACAGCTGTAGAATGCAAATTCAATCAGTTCAGCACGAATTCCCAACCGGAATTCTGAACTACATCCGGAAGACCAACAAAAAAAAAATCTGAACACAACCCAATTTTAGATCAATGTCTGCACTAATTTCTAAGCCCACTCAAAACAATCTCGCAAGACAATCAATCATTAGGATCTAACACAACCTAGAAAAACACTTCCATCACATTAAAATCAGAATCCTACATTTGGATACATATTCACATAACTCCAAAACCATAATACGGTGACAAGCATAAGGAATAAAATCAGGCCATCCATTCAAGTTTTGATCTTTATCAGCAAAAGCTCACCTAAGAAACAAAGATCCCAACCGGTGGTGCGCCTTTATGTACCCTGGCTCGAGCCTTATTGCCTCTTCACATTCTCTAACCGCCTCAACCAACCGCCTCAAACCCATCAATGCCGCCGCACGATTGAAATGATAGGAGCAGTTAGCCGGCGAAATAGAAATCGCCTTGTCGTAAAAAGTCAAAGCCTCCGCGAAATGTCCATGCTTATAGTTGTCATTTCCCATCCTCTTTAATTCTTCAGGATCAGTATTATTACTGCAAACCCCACTCCTCCTTCTTACCATATCCCCGCCAATCATGAGCCCTCGCCAGTAATTATTGGTGGACCCACCATTGGAAGCGGGCTTGGATGCAAGCCCACCACCCCGCATTATGCTGTTATGACCGTAATTCACTGATCCCGAACCGAGGACATCAGGCTTCGTGGTCCGGCTTGCCATGCCGGTTTTCAGGACCCTTCCGGAAGGGCAGATGTTCTCGGTGGGGACCAAATTCACCGGCGGGGAATTGACAGAACCCGATCCAGAGAAGAATAGCTGGTGGGACCCACAGGAGCGGGACCGGGTGTTACCCAGTCGAAAGTTCCGGGTAGCTGATGACGGCGAACTCTCGACGGAAAGCTCAACAGAGTGGCTGTTGGGATTGAAACCGGATCTTCGGGGCAACTGCGAGTTGGACACCGCCAAGGCCCGGCCTGTGGCCGATCCAGATGAACTGGAGCTGCTACTTTTTGTGGCGGCAACCACCGTCGTGGTTAGCACGCCACCGCTACGGGTTCGAAGCGGCGTCACCGGCGAGCACAGATTGAGTTCCAGGAAGTCGGGCTTGTCAATGCTAACGCCGCCGTCCTTTTCGTTGTCAGTCAGCGTGTTCCTCAACCGATCCGAAAGCGCATTCAGGGATTTGTGACTGGATCTATTCCAAGGCCTGAAGAAGGAGAACCAGATCACGAGAGATGGAAAAAGGTAGATCTGATGGTACTTTCCTGGATTTTAAATACAATTTCTCCAGATCTGGTAGATGCTTTTATGTACGCTGATACATTGAAGGATTTATGGGAAGAAATTTGTCAATGATTTGGAGAAAGCAACGGTCTTTTGATTTTCCAGCTTAGAAGAGATATATGTAACCTGAAACAGGGAAGTGAATCGGTGATGACGTATTATAACAGATTAAAAAGGTTATGGGATCAATATAGTTGTCTGGTGCCGCAGCTGGCATGTAAGTGTGAAATAGGAAAAAAAATCATGGAGCAGAATATGCAGAACAAACTTATACAATTTCTGTTAGGATTGAATGATGGTTACAATCACATCACGAATCAAATAATGTTGATGGATCCGTTGCCGACTATAAACAGAGTATACTTTATGATATTGTCTGCTGAGAGACAAAAGACCGTCCAATCAGCTGAAGGAGATTTTTCAGGGAACATAGCTATGATTGCTAAGGATTCTGTCTATGAAAAAGGAATGAGAGCACCAACTGGAGTTTATGGTACAGGAAGAGGAAGAGAGCTCCACAAAGGATGTCCAAGGAGGAAAAGGCAAAGTTGTACTGTGAGCACTGTGGGAGGAATGGACATGAGAAGCAGACATGCTTCAAAATATATGGTTATCCGGACTGGTTTAAGGAGGCGAGGGAAAAAAAAAAGGTAGATATGTAGCAAATTCAGTTGAGACACAGGATGAACATGAATTGCAGATGCCTGGTGTCTCATCAAAGGAAGGAATCACAACTTTAGCACAAGAGGTTGCTAGAATATTGGGAAGACAGGCACAAGAGTATCCTGTAGGGAGAAAGAACCATGATGATGAACAATTTGTAAATTTTGCAGGAGATGAAGGAAGTAAGGAAATGCACTATGCCTTATCAATGGTTGATGGACTTTATGGAAGGAATTGGGTTATTGACACAGGAGCCACCAAACATATGTGTATCAACAAAGATTTGATGAGGAATGTAAAGACTTTGAAAAATCCAGTTACTGTATATCTGCCAGATGGGAGCTCAAAGGAGGTGTCTCTGGTAGGAGAGGTTTCACTATCTCATGAACTGACATTGCATGAAGTGTTGTATGTGCCTTCTTTCAAATACAACTTACTCTCAGTGACACAAATGTGTCTTAACTCAAGGATGAGATGTACATTCACAGCATATAATTGTGTTTTGGAAAAGGAAGAAGATGGAAAGTTGGTGGCATCTGGAAAACTCAAAGGAAAACTATATGTGGTGACTGAGCAAGGAGAAAATGGAGAAAGAGTTTTCACTTGCAAATCCTCATTGGAAGATTGGCACAGAACTTTAGGTCATGCCTCGTTCGGAGTACTACAACATGTATCTCCACTGCAGGGAAAATATAATATCTCTAATGGAGAGGCACTTAAGGATTGTGAGGTGTGTTTTAAATCAAAATAGCATCGGCTACCATTCCCTCTCGGTAATATACAGACTAGTGGATGTTTTGATTTATTACATGCTGACATATGGGGACCGTGTAAGGAAGTAGGGTTAACACAGACACCATACTTCTTGACAATCGTGGATGACTTCAGTAGGGGGACTTGGATATTTCTCATGAGAAATAAGGGAGAAACAGTGACTTTTCTGAAAGGGTTTGTCATTATGGTGAGAACACAGTTTGAGAAAAGGGTTAAATGTCTATGAACTGACAATGGACAAGAGTTTAATGGGCATGATTGCCAGAAGCTCTTGAGAGAACATGGCATTCAACATCAAAGAAGTTGTGTCCACACTCCACAACAAAATAGAGTTGTGGAAAGAAAACACAGACACCTTTTAGAAGTCACTAGAGCTTTGCTATTTCAGTCAGGGTTGCCACACAAGTTTTGGACACATGCGGTACAAGCTGCAGTACACATCATAAACAGGCTACCAAGTGCTTTGCTGAACTGGGAAACTCCTTTTGAGAGAGTTTATAAAAAGGCACCGGATTATGAGGTTATAAAACCTTTTGGATGTCTGGTTTATGCACTAAATACATCCCCTCACAAAGGAAAGCTGGATGCTAGATCAAACAAGTGTGTTTTTCTTGGTCATGCAAAAGGATATAAAGGATATGTGGTATATGACATAGCTCAAGAAAGGAGTTTTACATCCAGGGATGTAATTTTCAGAGAACAATGTTTCCCATATAAGGTTCTTGTGGATTGTGAAAATGAAGGAGGCACGCCCTTACCTATATGTACTGATAATTACAGAAATGA